GAGGAGGAGGGGGGAGGAGGAGGAGGGGGGAGGAAGAGGAGGAGGAGGGAGAGGAGGGGGAAAGAAGAAGAGGGAGAGGAGGGGGGAAGAAGAAGAAGGAGAGGAGGAAGAGGAGGAGGAAGAAGAGGAGAAAGAAGAGGAGGAAGTGGAGGGGAGATTGGGAGGATGAAGAGGAAGGAGGGGGAGGAAGAGGAAGGAGGTGGAGGAAGACAAGGATTAAGGAAAGGGGAGGAGCAGGAGAGGAGAGTTAAACGGTTAAAGAAACAATGAAATGAGGAGGAAGGGAACAAAATACAAATATTTTTAAAACAGAAGAGAAGAAAAAAAAAACAATATTAACGTCATATTGTTCCAAAATAGAGTAAAGTAGGAGGATGCTAATTATAACATTAATGAAAATATTAAATTTGTATTATGACACAGTGAAAAATTGTGCTTGTCAAAATAATAAAATCGAAGAAATCAATATTTTCATTCCACTGCAATTTTTTGTTCTTTTTTTTTTTTTTTTGCTCATCATTTCTGTATCAATGAAACTTAAACATATTTCTGTGTGTATTTAACTGAAAAGAGATGATCAAAGGCACAAAAATGTAAAACTTACAATTTTCAAAGACACTCAAGCTTTGGAAGCAACCAAACTTTGGCAAGCATTGTCTTGCTAATTTTGAGCTCCTCCAATCGCAAACATCTTGACCTCTATTTAAGATAAATGGGTATTTTTCATAAAAAAAGCAAGGCAAACGAACAGGCTTAAAGATTATATCAATAGCTCCATATGTCCAAAACCTGACGAGCGCCTGATTCCACAACGCCATACTTGTCTGGCAGAAACTGAAAGCTGCCTCTCTGCTGAATACCATGGTCCAATGTGCAGACTGGTATATATGATAGAAGCGCAACCAATTGGCTTTTTCAAAGAATGGTGAAACCTTCGCATAATATGAATACAAACAGCACCCAAGAGAGGTGAAGGGAATTTATAACAGAATCTGTCAAGGTCGGCTTTTTTTATTACCACTTCGTTTCAGAAATATAACTTCTCTTTACAATGCGCAGTATTTCATCGTGCCACTTTGCACCATGTGCATAAAAGCAGCTACATCAGCTCCAAGTCCAAATTAGAAACAAAACCAAACAATGCCCTCTATAAAACCCCACCCTCTTACGCAAAGTACTGAAGTTTATATGGAAGAGGTGTGTAAGAATGAAAAAATAATATACATACAGTGGGGTCCGCTTCAACCAAACATGGTTTATCAGAAAACAGCAGTGAGCCAAAAGAAAATGAAATCTGCGGTTGATTTTTTTTTCTACTATCAGAGCAGCCTCTCTAAACTGAAAACCCAGCAAAACTGTAGAAAATTTGGCGGTCCTGCAGATTTTTGTTGCAGCGGAGTCTAAAGAATTATTCCCACAATAAGCATTTCATTTTCATCCTAAAAAATATATATATCTGGGTGAACAAACAATAGCACAAACAATGTCGAAATCTGAAAAGCAACCGGAACACACAATAATGAATATCAAGACACATATAAAGTAAAAAAGACGTACACCATACAAACACAATCACAAGCAAACAAATGAACACACAGACTTAAAGCACAAAAAGCATCTCAAATTCACATCCCTAAAGAAATAGGCACAGAAGCACAAAAAGCAGATTCATACATACACACACACACACACACACATACATACACAGACACACACACACACACACAAACACACACACATAAACACACAAACAGGTACAGAAACTCAAAGAGACACACATACACACACACACACACACACACACACACACACACACACACACACACACACACACACACAGAGGTGTAGGTGCAGTGTAACATAAAAGCAAATTTGACACACACTGCACTGCACCAACATACAAATACAAAAAGGCACCAACACAGAATGATACGCAAATTTACACCCAAACATACAAAACACACACTTATGTACACATACACAAAGTGAGATAAACATCTCCTATTTCTTGTACATGAATGATACACAACTTTACACACAAACATATGCATGTGTCACGACACAGTGGAATCAGACAAATCATCTATTTTTTGGGCATATGGAGTTATTGGTATCATCTTAAAGTTCGCTCATTTGCCTTGCTTTTGATGAAAAGATACCCTTATATCTTGAATAAAAGTCAATATATTTGCGATTAATGGGGGTCGCCTGGTGTCAGAAGTAAAATTAGCAAGAAATGTCAGCCAAAATTCAGTGGCTTCCAATGCTCGAATGTCCTTGGAAACTACAAATTTACTTTATTGTGCCTATGACCAGCATTTTCCTGTAAACTCCACCCAGAAATGTGTTATAAAGGGACATAAAAGGTGTTTAAAAATAAGTCGACAAAAATTCCCCTAAGGACAGGAAAATGTTTATTTCTTCAGTTTCATTGTTTTGATTGGCATCTGATTTCACCACAAAACCAAACATACGTGTCATGACGCAGTGGAATCAGGTGCTCGTCAAGTTTCGGGCATATGGAGTTATTGATATCATCTTAAAGGTTATTCATTTGCTCTGCTTTCGATGAAAAAAATATCCGTTTATCTTAAATAGAAGTCGAGATATACTTGCGATTGAAGGTGGGGTCGCCTGGTTTCAGAAGTATAATTAGAGAGAAAATGTCCGCCAAAGTTTAGTGACTCTACAGCTTAAGAGTCCTTGGAAACTACAAATTTACATTTTTTGTGCTTTTCATCAATGTTTTTCCATAAAATCCACACATAAAAGTGTTTTTGAATGGACATACAAAGCGTTAGGCCAAAAAAACAAAAATTCGAAAAAATATTCCAAACTGACCGAAAAATGCCTATTTCTCGGATTTCATTATTTTGACAAGCCCCTGATTTCACCACGAAGCCAGGCATATAATATACACACATACGTATACACACACATGCAAAGTGAAACTGCATCTCAAATTTCTGACACACAGAAAATGTTGCACTTTGTGGAGAGTCTCCTGGTGTGTTCAGTCCATTTCATCTGCCAACTCTTAAAAAGTACAAAGCCCAGAATCTGTAACATTTCTTTTAACTGCAGTTTCTTAATCTATGGTATTAGTTGTGTGTGCTCAAGAAATATTCAGCGAAAAATAAGTTTCTAAAAATTTTGGGGTTTTTTAAGCAAGAAAAAAATTCCTAATGTAGGCTCAATTGTTAAAAGAACAAAAAGTTTTCTTCTCTCTACTGTAAAATTGGTTTCCTGGGCTTAGTACATATGAACAGCTTGACGACGATTTGCTTCGAGCTTATCTGGTAGGAGAACAACAACAACAACAACAACAAGCCGTCCTGATGGATCTCTCCTAGCACACAAACAAGACATATGAATGCCAGGTAAACAAAACCCATAAACACCAGGAAAACGAGCCAGGTGAACAAGACACATAAATATTACGTACCCAAACCCATATGTGTCACATACCCATAACCCATAAATATCACTTACGGTACCCAAGACCTATAAATGCCACGTACCCAAGACCTACAAATGTCACATACCCAAGACCTATAAACGCCAGGTAAACAAGACCCATAAATGTCACATACCCAGGATCTATAAACGCCAGGTAAACAAGACCCATAAATGTCACCTACCCATGACCCATAAATGCCACGTAAACAAGACCCATAAATGCCAGATAAACAGGACCCATTAACACCAGGTAAACGAGCCAGGTCAACAAGGGCCATAAAAGCCAGGTGAACTAAAGCCAGGTAAACAAGAGCCATAAATACCAGGTAAACAAGAGCCAGGTGGACACAAACCACAAACGCCAGGTGAACTAGCGCCAGGTAGACAAGAGCCATAGATGCCAGGTGAACTAGCGCCAGGTAGACAAGAGCCATAGATGCCAGGTAAACTAGCACCAGGTAGACAAGAGCCATAGATGTCAGGTAAACTAGAGCCAGGTAGACAAGAGCCCTAAATGCCAGGTAAACTAGAGCCAGGTAGACAAGAGCCATAGATGTCAGGAGAACTAGCTCCAGGTAGACAAGAGCCATAGATGCCAGGTGAACTAGCGCCAGGTAGACAAGAGCCATTGATGCCAGGTAAATTAGAGCCATAAATGATGTCAGGTCAAGTAGGGTCTGTGCTGTACTCAATCGAACTCTCCGACAGTTGATTCTTTCTCCTCCGGACGCAGGACAGACAGCAACACAGCTTGGACATCAACGTCTTTCGCCGGTTTCCTGAACGGCCAGCTGGGAGGGAAGAAACAGAGAAGTTTTTGTTAGTGTGTGTGTGAGCGTGTGTGTATGTGTGTGTGAGTGGGTGTGGGTGTGTGTGTGTATGTATGTGTGTGTGTGTGTGTGACATCAACGTTTTTTGACGGTTTCATCAACGGCCGGCTGGCAGGGAGGAAACAGAAGTTTTTGTAAGGGTGTGTGCTTGTGTGTGAGTGTGTATGTGTGTGTGTGTGTGTAGATGTGTGTGAGCGTATGTGAGAGCGTGTGTGTGTGTGGGAGAGACATTATCGTCTTTCACCGATACCCTGAACGGCCGGCTGGCAGGGAGGAAACGGAGAAATTGGTCAAAATAGGTGTAAGTGTGTGATTATGTGTGTGTGTGTGTGTGTGTGTGTGTGTGTGTGTGTGAGTGTGTGCGTGTGTGTACGTGTGTGTGTTTTTGTGTGTTTGCTTGTGTGTTATAGAATTTTTTGGATGAATGAGTGAATGCCATTGAACAGTGGCGAAGCGTCTATATTATTAAATAATCACTGCTTCCCTTCCTAATTTTGAAACATTGTTGCTGTCAAATTCACACATAAACGTAAACCTCATAAATTAAATGTAAAAGGACGTTCATAATCACCAATGGACAGTAGCCTTTCCCTAACATTCAAAACGGTTTCATTGCCACAGAAATTAGCCTGTTCACCCCTTTCAGGCCGCTCCATAAGCAGTCACAAGCTTTGATTAAGTAAGCTTAAAGTGAGGCTGGAAGAGTCTACCAAAAGAGTTGAAGGGAACATGTGCACAACACTCAAAACTGTTTCATTGCCACATATTCCCTGTTCACCCCTTTTGGGCCACAGTCATAAGCAGTCACAAGCATGGATTATGTAAGCGAACTATTACACTGGTTGAGTCAACCTCACACATGTGAGGAGAACTTTACATTACTTTACTTTTTTCTTCCGCTTGTACCAGTAGGTGTCGCGGGGAGACTAAGGCGTCTGTCTGCAGCAAGGCGAGTGGCCTGTAGGAGGGACATCCAGTGAGCTCTGAGGGTGTCTGCCACAGATTCACTCCATCGTCGCCTTGGTCTTCCTCTGGCTCTCCACCAAGAATATTTAATGTTGTATGCTCTCAGAGCTGGGTGGTTTGAGGGCATCCACGTGAGGTGTCCGAACCACTTGACCTTTTGTTTTTCAATGTGTGGTAGGACTGGTGTTGCTCCTACGGTGTCCCTTATTTTTTATTTTGTCTCTTCTTGCCAGGACCCTCTTTTGGTACGAAATCCAAAATTTATATATATATACAGTCAAACCTGTGTAAGACGGCCACCCATTGTCAAGGAGAAAAGTAGCCGTATAAGACAGGTGGCCGTCTTAGGCAGGACTGATAAAGATGAAGAAAACAAACCATTCCCATCTGAGGTCCCAATCGAAAGTAGCCGCATTGATGTTGTTTTTGTTGTTGTTGTTGTTGGTTTGTATTTTGTTTGTAATTTGTATTTTGTTGCTGATTTTGCACAAGGGAGACAATAAGACGAAATGTATCAGACGAGGAAGACTGAGTGCCATGTTAAAACAAACACATGGGTCGCCACCACTCGGAGAACAAGCGACGCTGCTGTCAAAAGTTTATGTTGACGTCCTTTGTTACTTTGTTACAGACTGGGTAAACAGTAACCACTCATCTCACTTACGATTTGTTAACGAGTTCTGGGCGGGGCTTAGGGGTTATGAGGGATCACACGCTTACCTCACCAGTAGCTGAAAATTGGTAGCTATTGGTCAACAGTGGGAGGCGCCTATGCAACATGATCGGTTGGAGGGACTGCCTAACAACAACGTCAGGTGATTGAATTATGACGGCTCGCCCACAACGCCAGGGGTCAATGCACAATTTATGACAAAACGTAATGGAGTCACTAAGGTGGCCGTCTAAGACAGGTGTTATTACTTAGTGTGATAGGTGTTGGGTGTTAAAATATGGTGGCCGCGGCCGCGTTGGACAGGTGCCCGTTTTACACAGTTAAATTATATAGAAAAAAACGCAAGGGGGGAAATGGAAAGTGGCCGTTTGTACAGGTGGCCGTCTTATAGAGGTGGCCGTCAGGGCAGGTTTGACTGTATATACATCATTAAATTGGTCATTAGATCAAAACAAGTGAACCTATTTCGATAGTGTTTTTATCTAATCAATGAACTCCTGGCAAACAAGACCTATTTCAGCAAATGCCAGAAAGTAATTTGACCTCGAATTCCTTGTAAAGGAATGTGCCCTAGCCACAGCCAGTGGCTCACCAACACAGCGGTTCCGACCGCAAGCCGCTGGGAGCCTCTTGCCAGAGATAAGGTAGGGAGATAAGGAGTTAAAGAAGGAAAGGCATTGCAGCTGAACTGAAAAAAAAAGCTCTGCTGCAACTGTAATGCAGCTTTCCCAGAGGTTAAAATCTGTTAAACCTTCATTTTGCACAATTGAAAACAGTGAAATGGTATAGATGTAATGCCGCTATCAACACTATTAGGCTATTTAATTAAAGGCGGAACCTCCAAGTTTAACATCTGACCGAGCCAAATGGGAAATTCATGTAAAGTGCTTTTCCCAAGGACACAAAATTGGACTGAAGTGAGGCTCAATATTGTAAGTAATGATGGAGTCATCTTTTATCCCTTTTTTGTTAGAAAATATCAGGACACTCACTTGTGAAAGATGGCTGAATACTTTTTCGAGACCTAGCAGTCTCCATCAGAAGGTCATTGATTTGTTCAAATTTCAGATCTTTCCATCTCTGAAATAGAGGAAAAAAGCACAATTACAAAGTCTTGGGTCCTATAAACAAATTACCATTATTAATATTTTATCAAACCATCAATTTTCCTTATGACAAATGGAGCTTATTAAGTAGGCAGGGAAAAGATCAAGTTTTTTTCAGCATGCCTCACCTTAGCCATTTATTTTTTCAGCATTTCACAGAACTAGATCCATAGAACAGCATCGGACCTGGATAAAAAGTTGGAGAGCCAACTGTCATAGAGTGAACTGTTTAAAACATGTTTAACAATAGCCTATACACACAAAGAAACCACTTCAGTTCAAACTGAGATTCAGCCATGACTTTACTGAGATTCAGATCCTAAGGGATGCCAAGAGCCCATCACAACTCCAAAAACAAAGACTCAAAAATTCCAATGAAAACACTTTCATGTTTACTGTGACTTTTTCTTTTATAAATGAACAAACACTCTTTGGAATGTTTAAAGGTTACCACTATGTTTTAAATATGGTCAACTTGTGTAGATCCAAAAAAAGTCTGTGTATTTCACGCTGATATCAATTACATTATTTAAGAGGTCAGACCTCCAAATTTTAACGTCTGTCTCTGATGATACCGAGCCAAATTGGTTGAGAGCTTTGAAAATTTTGTAAAACAACCTGTGTTCAAGAAAGTCCTGTCTGGAATTCATACCATGGCCATCTGCTCTGTAGTACAGCATCATACTAACAGAACTAATGGTGCACCATTATATACAGAAGAACTGAAAACAGAACATATATTATTAGCCTATTAGATATCATTATCAGTAATTTTTTGTGCATTTTTGGAAAGAAAACAATACACATCCGTCAGGAAAAAAAATTTAAAAAATCTCTATCTCTGTAATTTTCAGCTGTATTGTAAAAAAAAAGAAAGAAAGAAAAAAGACATCTGGACCAAACCAACACACCAAAGGAAAAGTATTATAATACAATGATGTGTTGAGGTGGTGACAGATACGCTGACAAATTGTAGTAGTGATGTGCTGATAGACATGCTGATAAAAAAACCCAACCAAAAACCCCTCACAAAACAACCAATGCATCTTATAGTGCTAAAGGCTGTTGTTGTGATTATGAAAATAGACCAGAAACGTGGGTTGTGTTGATAAATAGTCGTTGATGTTCACTTGCGGAAGACTTGGTCGCCGTCTTGTTATTTTTAAAAAATTGATCAATCTCCACTTCGTTATGGGGTGCCCATTGCAAATCGAGGGCGAATGCCCCACTCGTCACCTGAAAACAAACGTGTTTGTTTTTGAGGTGACGAGTCAGGCGTGATCGGCTTGTGCCCTGATAGCCGCTTTGCACCCTCAATCTGGATAGCAAACCGCCTCGACCCGACGGATCCCCCAAGGGGTGAACATCAACAAGCCAAGGCCAGTTACCAGAAATGGATATATGTAACTAAGGACTTTGTGCACTTTGCCAAATTTGATAAAAAAACGTGGAGAATCCAAAATTATGCAATTTAATGTAGCAGAATTGTGCGAAAAAACACGGCTGTACAATCGCATAATCCAACGAGGACAGGTAGGTCTGATCAGGAAAGCACACAACGTTCAGAAAACAAAACCATGCCAACAGGTAGCAACACATTTCTGTACTGGTCCACTTACTCCACTCCACTTGATAGTGTTGTCTATCATGCATTCTTGCCAGGGTGTGAACGGGTAGTAAATCCTGCCCGCTGAATCAGGAAGACAAAGGGTATGATAAATGAAATCATAACATTGGGGAACAAAAAGACAAGATTTGAACAGATTGACTGCTCAGTTTAAGATTTCATGATATGTCACTTTCTGAATGGCGTGTTGCGAAGTCTTACACTAAACCGCTAAAGTGTTCTCAAAATCAATTAAAATGATAAAGAAAAAAAAAAAGTAATAGTATTGTAGGTGTCGCAAGCAATCCACTTAAGTCGGTTTGGTTGTTCTTTACAGCAGTCAAAAAACTAGTTTTTGTTGTACTGTTCCTATTAGGAATAATGAAAAGCAAGAAAATTGTAAGCCTTGACCATAGGATTGAACTGCATATTGGTGATGCTGAAATGAGCTTCTTTCATAGAGCTTTGGGAGAGTGTGAAAATTGGAAATTCTCAAAATTTGGAATTGCTTGAGACAGAGACAATATTCTGACCACACAAAACAGAAATAGGCTCATGAGAACAGCAACTCCAGGGGGTAATATTGAGAGGGGGCATCCATATCTTTTTGGCCCAACACGTACAAAATAAAAATATGCTAGTATAAGTCGTCAAAAATATAGAAATCTTTTTTTAAAATATTTCTTTTTTCCAAACAGTATCTCTAATTATTGTTATTCTGAACAGTTTAACTCCAACAGTAACTACCACATTGACACATTTCTTTTCATAATTTACCAATATTCAGTACCAAATCAGGACAAAGTTTGGATGATAACAAAAAATGCCCAAAATTTAGATATAAATTGTCTCTTGACAAACAAATAAAACGATGTAGAAGTAAAACATAAGAACTTGTACAAACCGTATTTGATCTCTTTCTCCAACATCTTGTCAACAACATCAAAGGTGTCTTGAGTGAAAGTCTGCATGAAGCCTGGGAAGAGTCCATAATGCAGCATCAATGTAAAAATGGAAGGACAGACTGGGGTTCCAGAAGTCCTTGTCAGTCATGGAGAAATAAAATATTTCTTCACACATGCATGCACCCACACATGCACGCATACAAGCACACACAAATATTATATGGATGCACTGTATTTTTTCAAATGATAAGAACAAAATAAACATTACAAACAAAAACAGACATATTACAATATACAAAAACAGACATATTATTACAACAAACAAAAACAGACATATTACAACATACAAAAAACAGACATTTTACAACCTACAAAAACAGACACATTATTACAACATGCAAAACTGACATACTATGACATACAAACCTATTTGCAGGGTGGCTATGTTAGCCGAGTTTCTGTCGCAGCTGGGAGATACAGGTAACTTCAGCTCTTTCTCCTTGTCACCCTGAAATTTCAATAGTTTAATGGAAGTGATTTTCACGCACCCATCGACACAATTTAGATCATTATAGGAGGTAGGCTTCCAACTCTGCCCATCAGAGCCCATCTGGGCTGAGAGAGATAATCCACAACACAGAATCTTACACCTTACTCCAAATAGGAAACAAACTTATTGGTAAGAAAAGATGGCAAACATCCAGCTCTGACAAACAGGCGTATGAAAGCAAAAAATGGTATGCCTCGATTTGTTATTATCTTAATTTTTAGTCTTTTCTAATGTAGATCATCTTCTTACAAAAAAGGTTGAGTTGCTTCTGCTCAGTGAGTGTTTATCCAGTCCAGCCGACAACATTAAGTGTAATTTGAGTTCGACCTTCGGAGTGACTGAGTCTGTCACCTGTGTCCTACAGGTTAGCTTCCTGATTATCAACAATGTTTATTTTTTGGTTGAAATATAACCAGTGGGAGATTCTGATCATCTGTTGTCTTTTTTTAAACTAAGTGAGAGGAACAAATGCCAGAGCAAAAATCAAAATCCACTTAGCCATTCATCAACCTGCCTCAGCATTGCTCACGTATCGGCTGTTCCAAAAAAAACCTGTCTTATCACAAAAAATTTGTAGGTTAGATAGTTGTGGGGAATTTTACATCACAACTGAACAGAAGTTTGGATACCTATGCACATTATGTTACATGTCCAGTATAAAGTGTTTCAATGCCATAGCACCCTTATATCATTTTACAAACGACTTGATTTGAGAATTTCTTTAAATCATGAATTTAAGTTGCCTGCAAGCAAAATACCCCCCCCCCCCCCAACTATTCAGAATATCTTTAGACATTAACAAAAATAACTCTCACTTTTTTAAAGGATATGATTCTAGTTGATGTTTACCTGTCGGAAGAACTCATCGCAAAGCAGGGACACCCAGACCTTGTGTACATCCCAGGGCTTTGCTGGGTTGCTGATGTCTGCCGCATGCAGGAGTAGCATAAGGAGGCGTTTTATCCGAATCCGGGACGTACCTCTGAAACAAGAAGTTATAGCTGGTTCACCTTCATCCATCCACGTAAAAAAAAATTCTCTCATTTATTAATTTTCCAATGCGCACGAAACTTTGCATGGCACTCTTGTAGGTCAGCAAACTAAACACAATATTTTTTCAAAAAATCTAGATCCAAGTAAAAAATAGGTTTCTTTATTTGGGCCCTACTTTGAATATATCCCCCTTTGGGTGCATACACATTCTCCATGGTCATGTTAGAAAGGTGGAGCACGGACAAACCCGTATTTGTATCCTCCTTCCCTTCAAAATCCACTGAAAAGATTATCCCTGACAAAAATGTTGTGAATATGACGATTAAAAATATTCAGCAAACATTTTTTTGCGGAACATTGATAACCCTGGAAGCACCCTTCACTTTTCCCCCATAACACTGAAGTAAATACCCAAGACAAAGCACTCACTTGATGGGGGCAAACATCATGAGTTTCATGTTTGTGAGGAGCAGGAAGTGGTTAGACATGTCCGTGGCCAGGATCATAGAGGTCAGCATGAACTTGAAGTCCCTGACAGTCAGTGACCGGATGAGATGAGATAAGATCATAATCTATAAGGTAAGATAAGAGAAGATAAGATGAGATAAGATTACAACAACTAGTGTATTCTTCTTCTTACGACAACTAGTTTTATTCTTCTTCCAACAGCAAGTGTGACCAGTAGCCACAATGACAGTCTTTTTATTTATGCGTTCTTCATCAGGTTGTGTGGGTATATATTATTGAAAGGATTGTTGTACGTTGAATGGGCCAGTATGTACGAAACATTTGTTTAAATCTAATTTTATTATGAAGCGCCTAGAGCCATCAGGGAGTGGGCGCTGTTGAAGTGATCTCTGTTATTATTATTATTTTTCTTTTATTGAGTTATAAATACAAAAACCGTTAGCAAGGGCCTCGTTGACATTGACTGACCTGGTGGGCTGAATTGTGGCAATCTCTGGCTGAGAACAATGAGAGATAACAATAATTGCTTTTATTTAGAGAATATCCACATTCTACACCAAGCTCTATGGACTTTACAACTATTGTGACCTCAGTAGACCCTTGAAAACCCAGAAGTATTCTCAGTTCCCTGGGAAGCATACAGCACAAACTGTGGATTACACATGCTAAAACACTAACAAATTGACAAAATCTTTCGCTGTCTATAGCTGGGTACTTATTTCCCCCTGGATGAAGTGAGAAAAATTTGTGTAAAGTGCCTTTCCCAAGAACACGATGTCAAGTCCCTGCCGTGGTTTGAACTAATGACCTTCTGGTTGCAAGCCCAACAGTCTACCACTAGGCCACCAATGTAACACAAGATGAACTTACTCGTACTGCTCATTGCTGAGTGTGCGGAGGATCTCGTAGTCTCTCAGCATCCTTAGCCCCACGCGGAGGTGATGGTTTTCCAACACGGACACCACATACATATTTGCCATCTCAGACCTACAAAACACAGTTTCCATCTTGTACATGTTTAGCGGCACAAAAATAAGTACGGTAAATCCTCGATATAACACTTCTCACTTTGAACCCTTGATTTTGAACTCCTTAACTGAGGTATGATTCATCCAAAAAGAGCAAAAATACTATAATGGACTAGGGGCTTCAAAAAGTGAACATTACCGCTGACAGTTCGTTTTAAGCCATGTACATTATGCCGAGGTTGTAAGTTGTACCATATTTAAATTTTGTTACTCAAGAAAGAGAACGGTAGTAGAAACTTTAAGACTTACACCAGCAGATTTATAGCCAACCCAGAATGTAAACCATCTTTTACCATACTGGGTCTGTTTTGAAGTCAAAATTAGTTCATTTCATGCAACAGCCAGTTTTATAAACTCATAAATACCTAATGCAGAAGGGATACAACTCTTAGAAAATCATGAGCTTTGCCAATTACAAACCTGAACTACATTAAAAATTACTGTCCCTTTACCAGGCTTTCATTTTTTAGTTAAGTGAACTTCAAAATCCCAGAAAAATTCACAGATTGCTTATTCATGGGAGAGACACAGCTGCTTTGAGCGATGTACTGTTGAACCTGCTCTAACTGCCACCTGTCTAAGACAGCCACCTTTAGAAACAACCTTTAACTTCCCACTTGCCCGCTTGTATTTTTTTACATTATAATGACACTGTCCAAGTCGTCCACCTGTCTAAGGCAAACATTTTTCTCCTCAACTACTTTTTATTTCTTCTCTGTAATTTACAGCAATGTGGGTGGCCTTCTTGGAAAAAATTCAACTGCATTTTGAGTTTTTACCTGACGCTTCAGCAGACAGCACTGCAAACACGCATTTCATCTCCCCTGAACCAGACAAAGCAGACAAACCACACAAACCACACTGTCTAAATGTCAAAACAACACAACCAGATGGAAGCAAACATCCTTCGTCTTACATACCCAGAGTTTTTGTGGAAATTGTTGTTGGTTCCCGTGTGCTCGATGTCGTGAACAATCGCCGTGATCAGAGTGCAGAAGATCTCAAGGTCAGTGAGCAGACTCTGCAACACAAAAAAGTGTTTGGGGTGAGGTGATGTAAGAGGTGAGGTGAGGTTAGGTGATGTAAGAGGTGAGGTGAGGTGAGGTGAGGTGAGGTGGGGTGGGGTAAGGTTAGGTGAGGTAGTAAGTAAGGTAAGAGGCGAGGTAAGATGAGAGGTGAGGTGAGGTAAGAGGTGAAGTATGGTAAGATGTGAGGTTAGGTGAGGTGAGGTAAAAAGAAGGTGTAAGATGAGGTAAGAGGAGAGGTGAGGTGAGGTGAGGTAAGACGTGAGGTGAGAGGTGAGGGGTGAGGTGAGGTGGGAGGGGAGGTGTGAGGTGAGATGAGGTAAGACAGAGGTGAGGTAAGAGGTATGAGATGAGAGGTGAGGTGAGAGGTGAGGTAAGAGGTGAGGTGAGAGGTGAGGTGAGAGGTGAGGTGAGAGGTGAGGTGAGAGGTGAGGTGAGAGGTGAGGTGAGAGGTGAGAGGTGAGATGAGGTGAGATGAGGTGAGATGAGGTGAGAGGTGAGGTGAGAGGTGAGGTGAGAGGTGAGGTGAGAGGTGAGGTGAGAGGTGAGGTGAGAGGTGAGAGGTGAGGTGAGAGGTGAGGTGAGAGGTGAGAGGTGAGGTGAGAGGTGAGGTGAGAGGTGAAGTGAAAGGTGAGGTGAGAGGTGAGGTGAGAGGAGAGGTGGGGTGAGAGGTGAGGTGAGAGGTGAGGTGAGGGGTGAGGTGAGGGGTGGGGTGAGAGGTGGGGTGAGAGGTGAGGTGAGAGGTGAGGTGAGAGGTGAGGTGAGAGGTGAGAGGTGAGAGGTGAGAGGTGAGAGGTGAGAGGTGAGACATGAGGTGAGATGTGAGGTGAGATGTGAGGTGAGGTAAGAGGTGAGGTAAAAGGTGAGGTGAGGTGAGAGGTAAGAGGTGAGGTGAGGTAAGATGTGAGGAGTGAGATGCGAGGCAAAACGTGAGGTGAGACGTGAGGTAAGGTGAGGTAAGAGGTGAGGTAAGAGGTGAGGTAAGAGGTGAGGTAAGAGGTGAGGTAAGAGGTGAGGTAAGGTGGGGTGGGATGAGGGTGGTGTGAGGTCAGGCGAAGCGAGGTAATGCTCAGTTGTCCTTGAGGGAAATTTTGTGTAGCTTTACAGGAATAGAAAACACATAGATAAAACAGAAGTTAAATTATACATTACTGGTGTAAGAGTATTTCTAAATGAAGAGGAATTTTAAGCTGTCAATAATAGAGCATAATTATCTCAAGCTACATGCAGAAATCAATGTACCACACCTTCATGTAAATAAGAAGCATGACAAGTTCATCCAAAAAAGGAGGTGGCATTTATGTGGGAAAAAACATGGAGACAAAAATATGCTTCAAAATTTGAACAACAAATTTTAATTTATCACTAAAACACACCCCTACCCACTCCATTGTTCCCAAGCAAGTTCAGGAAATCATGGAGTAAACTCACAATAAATCCACTTCTGTTGATGATACAATTGACAGTCTGAAGCACATCGGCAGCATGAGACGAGTTGTGGTACGGGTTATGTCGGTAATGTTTCTCAACCTGGAATAAAAAAAATAAACATGCCTCCAAAACAGTGTCCCTTTAACTGTTTCCAACAAAAGACATGTACTGCCATGTGACCTATCCACCTAAAGGATTGAACTACAATTTATTTAATTCTGGTGGCCTGACCTTTGCGTCATGTTTTAGAAGGAACCACATACTTTTTAAAACCTCAAAAATTTAAACAAAAGTAAAACTGAACATTCCTACAAGCATGACGGTGCTGGAACTTCATGACTTTGAACTAAAGAATTAATAGAAATATACATTTCAATCATTATGTATCATTGTAAGATACTCCACAATTGTGCCATTTGGTTTCCTACTCCACTTTCTAAAATTGTGTTCATTATAGTTCATTCCAAAAACATAAAAGGTGGACTTCAGCTGAAATTTGTATAAATAAAAAGATTTAACCTCTCTTAATAAAACAGGTTATTTTTTATAACAGCTAAAAAGCTAAAAAGAGTTGAGTGTCATAGACATGGACTGGCCTATATACAACTTTGATCCTGTAATATACAGACTGAGAATATATGTATAACTTTATAGACTCTCACGTGTAGTTTTACATGATTTATAACAAAGTTTGCAACCATAAATCTCTTTGATTCTAATTTTTGGTTTTCCTCCCACAAAATGGTAACACTTCTTTTTGGTTTGCATCTATAAATTGCAACTGCTAGTTCTTCAACTTACTACATATAGATCTAAATGTCAGAAAGATTCTCAATGCCGGTATATTTTTCTGCATTGTTTGTACTGTATTCTAGTTGAGTCTATAACTTTCTTCAAAGTATTCTCCTTTATCTGGAGTTGGTTTTTTTCTGTAAGAGGGAATAACACTATTGCTCCTTCCAACAGGTATGTATACAGTTCTTTAAAAAGAAGCAAAAAGTGGTCCATCATAATATGTGTGCATCTCAGAAAAACCTCAGAAGGTGCTGAGGATTATTTTGTGATGTCTTCACAAATGTATCAACAACGTCATTCCTATCACATACAATGTTTTATCAAATGAGGAAAGATAAATCGCTTCTCAATATTTAGAAAAAATTTTTCGCTAATGCCAATTCTAATTGACATATTTTAAAAAAATATTTTGAGGACACATGAGAGTTAAATTTTGTTAAAATCTGAAACTGTTCAGTCCTGCCAACATACATGTGTATCCTACACTGTGATATTATAAACATATAAATAAAGTAGCAGGAGGAAAAGACGGAAGAAATGAGCATCATTTCACCCTTTATCCATTAAGGGAAGACCCGGGTCGGCGATCCCAGACAATATCGATAACATTTTTCAAACTATCCAACTTTTGTTTTCTGTGGAAAAACATCATTTGACATCTGTTCTATCGGGTCACAATGATGAAACTTTTGAGAATACATCATAAATGGCCTAAAAGGGCGTTTGAAAAGTGCAAATTGCGCTAAATTTCCTTTTTAGAATCCATGTTTGTTTCTGTTTTTTCTCAAAATCTACTTTTTGACACAGGTGACCTTCTTGGTGCAAGGAATTTTCCAAAACTGCTGAAGCTAGAAGCTTCAAATTTGGCGTACAGGTGCTTTAAGATTTATTCTGGGGATCTATGTGAAGGAATTGGGAAATATTGGTAACTTGAAATATTCAATTTTTTTGTAATATGTACCCCAAAATTTCGTCAAATGACTCTTGGGGGTCGGTCCATTGACTTTGGGCTCACTTTTTTTATTTTTAAAGATATGTCAAAATCCTCACATAGATTCCCAGTCCATATAGGTTAGTACTTGTGAGCCATATTTCAGGCTGATGTTTCAATATTTACTATGAAATTCTTCTGCACTAAGAAACTGATTTGAAAATCCAAGATGGCTGCCACAGAGACCCAACAAATTCACCCTTTGTACATCCTATTCACCTATGAACTTCTTTCACAATTACATGAAAGTGAATAAAAGTCATTCGTTTAGATTTTTTTTTCCAGGAGTGTACATCTCCCCTCAAGAAGCCTCATCATGGAAAATTTCTGGCTTGTGTACCCTCTCTCATAACTGATCCTTTGGACCTCAGAGCGCTTTGAAGTGACATAACTAATCATAAAATGCAACTGCACCAACACACAGTGCAAAATACCCAAGAAAAATGTTTCTTTCAAAACATGCATAAAGTAATTTGTTTGAAAAACTGTACATGCCCTCAAAAGACACGGTTTAAATAGCCGCAGCCAGTTACACTCTCTCCTTTACCAAACGCAGTGAATTGCGTCATTTTGAACAGGTAGGCAAACTGTAACGCAAACTGTAACGCGAATTCCAAACAGCAGAACCAAACTTGGCTGCCGACATACCTGGACAATAAACCGCATGAAATGGTTTTCTGTCAGCCGAAACTTCTGCAGTAGTCCATACTGATTGAAGATTTCATATGCTACGGCTTGCAGAGCATGGCCACTAGTCAGCCCATTCAAGGCAAATAAATCAAACTCCCAGCCGTTTATACTCTGGTATGGAATAAGAGAGGTGATACCATAGACATCGCTTGCTGAACTCCAACATCTAGTTCATGCACACAGGTACCAATAAAACTTCTTCTACAGCGTTAATTTGTGAAGGTAAACAAAAACAGTGATCGTGGAAACTTTACACTTTGACAAGAAAATGCGGAAGTGAAACGTATTGCCAGTCCAATTCTCAGTTCTACAAATTCAGCATTACAATATTGCCTTTTCAGCTTTTCTGAAATAGTTACATTATGACACATTGAGTGTCTTTATTTTTCTTTGAATCAAAATACTTAATAAGGTAAGAAGACGTTTAGGGCCACGCAAAGCAGAAATGTATATCATCATCGTAAAATGCCAGATCTTGTTTGTTTTAGAAGAGGTTTTACGGCGCTCGCAACTGCATAACGTCATATGATTATGAGCGCCAAGGGGTGGATGTCAACAGAGAACTCTTTACAGGAAATCAGGACTTACTCTGCTCACCTCTCTAGCTTCAACAGCACAAAGTCTGCTTCGACTATTAAGGCACCCCGGAAATAGCGGGTCACAAGAGTGTGACAAACATACAAAAGAAGTAGAGGGAAAAATGATGATAGTAAGGATTAATTAGGAAAGAAAAAGGGGCAGTTCCTTGTTGCACCACAGGCAAGGTTATGAGCATGACATTGATAAATCAGCCCATTTACAATTACAATGTTACTGTGCATAAGAACATAGTTAATGTCCCCCCTTTGGGAAAGGCCTAAAGACACTTCAGTCAGAATAGCACTGCCGCGTGAGGGGTGGGGGGGGTATAAAATGCCAGAACTGAAACTGACATCTACGATCATCGTTCTCCATTCACTTCTCCGATCGAATACTCTAAAAAATCCCACATTATCCTGGTGTTTCCCAGTCACCCATCTGTTCAGGTTTTCCAAATAAGTATTTATGGGTCTATACATATCTATAGCTGAGTCAAAATAAGAGGAAAAAGAGGAAAATAACTGCAAATGGAGTAAATAACATTACACCACATAACATTCCTACCTGTTGCAATGTTTTTCTAGTTGCTCCTGTCACGTTCAGAGAAATGGACGTCTTTGGAAAACTGCCTGAGCCACCTGCCTACAGATCATAGCATCAGAACCAGAAAATCAGATGACACTGTTCATTATGTTCCATCAGCAATAACTCTATATTAATGTAATGTTTCTACATGTAGTCACCCTTCTAAAATTCGTTTTTTTATACTGCCCAACAATACTACACTCAAAAATTAACAATAATTATATCTGTAACAGTATAACTAAAACAGTTTCACAGACTTTGTCTTACAAGAGTGGCAAGGACTTTCTTTACGATTTAAGTTTAAATACTAATTCTTCGGCTGGATCTCCTTTCTCGCCTGGAGTGGTGTACACATGGGAGTAGGCCTAGGGGCCATAAAATGATACACATTATTATTGTCATTAGGCCTATTAATAAAGATGGATAGAAGTGTCCGAGAAACATCAGCAGTCAAGAACAACATAACCAAGCAACAGGCAATACAACAAGCTAGAGAAAGACGTTTGTTTTTTCCCTCCACATTGTCAGAAAGTGTTCTTGTTATTATTATTATTTATTATTATTATTATTATTAT